GCTAACGACCAAGAATGTACCAGCTAACGACCAAGAATGTACCAGCTAACGACCAAGAATGTACCAGCTAACGACCAAGAATGTACCAGCTAACGACCAAGAATGTACCAGCTAATAACCAAAAATGTACCAGCTAACGACCAAGTACCAGACACATTTCAACCAAAAATGTAACCAAGTACAAAACTTTTTACAGCCAAGTAAATGAATGTTTCGTTACAATGTTTATGTAATTAAGTATGTGCAGAGGCTATACCTTGTAGTTAATGGATACAGTACATAACTTGTACTTTGTACATACCAGGTTGTTATCTTCATGTACTGGTACCACACTAACCTCTTTAGTCATGAGGTCCAGTGTCTCAGATGGGTACAGCTCAATGATCTGAAGCAGACGAGGGAACTTGAGTCGAGCCTCTTCAGAGTTCATCTTCAGGGCTTTCAACATGCTCTCTACCACATGGACCGGCAGAGCCAGAACCTCTGGAAACTGGCTCTCTGTGAACACAAGTAAAAACAACTGAATGAGCAGCTTTGTTACACAGTAATCTTCTGTAATAATAGTTACTGCAGTTAATGACCCGTATCGCTCTGCTCCTCGTTTCGCAGCAGCTTGTCACAGAAGTTTGCCAAAGCCATGTACGTCTCCGTGATCCCGCTGGTCTCCACGAAGTCCTGAGCGTAGGACTGGAGCTCCTCGTCGGCCTTCTTGGTTGCCTCCCGCAGCAACTTCAAAGCTCGCAACTGCAGGCCTACTTCCACTTCCTGCAGAAACAATCCCAGGAGGTTTTTAGATCTCATATGGATAAGTTAGACTCTACTGTTGTTTTCAAACCTGGGAATAATGTTGAAAAAAATGGAGATAAGTTGAGTACCTTTGGGTTTTCATTGGACCGAGCAGCTCCTGAAAGCTGAACCACTCTCTCAGATTTGTCGCGGTCAATAGTTCCCAGGACTGATGGGCTTCGGCTGACAGCTGAGGCCAGGATGTGGAACGATGTACCCTGGAGGATCTTCTGGTGTCGGAATACTTTTGCCGCGGCACTGTGACAGTCAGCCTGAAGCTCCTCTGCAGAGAGAGAAGAGCCAACATCAAGACTCTCAGCTAGAAGTTTACATCCTGGCACATCAGGAGGGTCTTCATACCTAGCAGTGGGATGGTCTTCAGCATGGCACTGATCTGTTCCAAAGGACCCTGGGTCTGGCTACGTTTGTGGTTATAGCAGCTGAAGCAGTGGACCCACGGCAGCAGCCATCCTCGGTTAGTTTTAGCCTCTCTGTGAAGCTCCTTCAGCAGCTTGGTGGCAACCGGGAAGTTTTTCTGGAAACAGCTCAGGATGAGTTTGATTGTGACGTGACGGCACAGAACGCTGACGTCCGCCCGCCGTCTCTTTACCTGCTGACAGGCGCTGTCGGCCATGCGCAGCTTCATGTTGAACTTGCAGTCGTTCACCATCGTCTCGACGTCTCCTGCGGGGTCCTGGGACTCGTCCATGTCCATGCTGTCGCTGGGAGCGTGGCCTCTCAGCTTCTCCCTGATCTTGTCCAGGAAGAAACATCTGAACCACAGAGACCAGATCTAAAGCTGTGTTTGGTAAAAAAAAAAACAAACAAAAAAAAAACAACACTTGGTCCGGCTCCTCTCACCGAGACGTAATGATGTCATCCCACACGTTCACCGGATCCACTTTAGCATCAGGGTATCGATCCGTCCAAGACCTGATGAGGCGCCTCAGAGAACTCACAGATACTAACAGGATGAGAGAAAAGAGAAGTAAGACACTTAATTAACTGAAAAAGTTTTATATGCAGTGATGTTTCTCACCGTCTCCTTTGATGAACAGCAGGAAGTCCTGGATCTCGGTCAAGGCCTGGACCGACTGCAYGACCGTCAGTCGACTCTGAGTCAGGAGCGTGTCCACACTGGAGTAACTCTGAGACAAGCAGAACAAATATGAMCTGACGATCCAAACAACAGAGTATTTGAGCGAACGCTGAGTCACTGTTCACTTTTTAAACATATTTAACTTTATTTACAGATATTTTCTTCAGAAAACATTAAGACCAGTCATTTCCTTCTAAATATTGTTCTCTGAAATCTTTGGTTTGTCTTCTGATGCTACTTTTTAACTAGCCTTTAGCTATTGTTTTGCCACATTTATCCAGCCTTTGATACGTTAGGCTTTTAGCTAACATTTTGTTACTTTTAGCTTTCAGCTGCTGATCTGAAGTTTTCAGTTAGCCTCTTGCTTTTTAATCTTTCAGCTATTATTTTGCATTTTCTACTTTTGCCATTACGGTAGCTAATATTTTTTACTTTTAGCTCCTAGATTTTAGGTAGAATTTTGCAGCTTTAGTTTAATTAATCATTTTGCCGCTTTTCACTTTTTTTCTTTTTAGCATTAGAAAAGCCTTTAGCTACATTTGGCTTTTAGTTCAGCTTTTGCTACTTTTAATTTGCATTCTGTTACTTTTAGTGCTTAATTAGAATTTTTGCTACTTTTAACTTTTTGGGAGTCCTTTCATATTCCTAGCCTTTTGTTACTTCTAGCTTGCACTAAGCTACATTTAGCTTTAAGCACACCTTTTTGCTACATTTAGCTTTAAGCTGACCTTTTGCTACATTTAGCTTTAAGCTGACCTTTTGCTATATTTAGCTTTAAGCTCACTTCAATCTACATTTAGCTTTTAGTAAACATTTTGCTAAATTTAGCTTTTAGCAAACCTTTTGCTACATTTAGCTTAAGCTCACTTCATACTACATTTCTCTTTTAGAACATCTTTTGCTACATTTAGCTTTAAGCTGACCTTTTGCTACATTTAGCTTTAAGCTGACCTTTTGCTACATTTAGCTTTAAGCTGACATTTTGCTACATTTAGCTTAAGCTCACTTTGTGCTACATTTAGCTTTTAGCACACATTTAGCTATATTTGGCTTTAAGCTCAACTTAAGCTAATATTTTCCTACTTTTAGATAGTATTTTAGTACTTTTAGCGTTCAAATAGTATTTTGCTATCTTTAACTTTAGCCTACAGTTTTGTTCTTTACAGTGTTAAGCTAGTGTTCTGCTGCGCAGCTTTAACATCTTAGTTTCAGCTTCTTCCTAATTCAGGGCTCAAGCATATTTTCTCCCGTTCAACTGTTTTTCTGCAGACTCTAAGCCCCTCTGCTGTCAGCTAAAGCACCTCCATGAAGAGCTGCAGGGCATGGTTGGTGTAGAACTTGGCGCGGTCGTAGTCCTCCTGCAGGATGTAGAGCAGGCTGAGCTCCCGGCTGTAGTGACTCTCCAGCAGCTTCTTGCGCTCCTCCACCTTCATGGCGCCATCGATGAAGCTGAGGAGGGTTTGGTCGCTCTCGCCCAGCTGCAGCTGCTTCAGCATGCTGCGGATCATGTGCTGCAGATACATTTCCTAAAAGAAGACGTCACAGAGATTAACGGCTTCATCTGAACAATAACATTAAAACTGATCTCTTGTGTTACCTGGTAGAAAGGCTCTGACCACATCTTCTCCAGGTTGGGCGGAGTGTTTTCATCGATGTAAACCGTGGAACAGTACTGAAGAGACTTCCACTCCGTCAGCTGACTGTAGGCCTCCATGGCAGCTATTTCCCAGAAATCCTTCTCAGATTCAGTGGGCTCTCCGTCAGGCCAGTCCTCTGTGTTCAGAGCCTACGAGACCACAACTCAGATCTACACGTCTGCATCGACACTACAAGATTTGGACTGTCCCGGCTGGGCTTCCGTACCTGGTTGTAAAGCGTCACGGCTTCGGCAAAGTCTGTGTTAGCTTCGGCCTGAAGAGCGGCGCAGGTGATCGGCTTCGTTCCAACTTTACTSCCAAAGATTCCTCGCACGACGTCGTAATCCTCCAAAGATCTGTAAAGCCTGTGAGGAAACAGAACGCTGAACAACTGCTGAAATTAGCTAAAACTAAGCTAGTTAAATCAATAAAAAGAGTAAAATGAGCAAAGTTAAAAGGCATTATCAGCTATTGTAAAATTAGCTAAACAATTGCTCAAAGCTGAAATCAGCAAAACTATACTTAGAGCTATACTTGAATAATATTTTAGCTACCTAAGCAGTAGCTAAAAGTAGAAATATATAAGCTAAAACCAGAATCAGCAAAAATAGTTTAAAAATGCAGATTTATTCCTAAAAGCTAAAAAAACAATAGCTAACCGCTAATGGTTAAAAATAAGTGTAAAACAGTAGCTAAATTGAGCAAAAATACAGTTAAAGCTAAATTTAGTAAAAACCATAGCCAAAAGCTAACATTGGCTAAACAGTAACTAAACGTKGCTAAGGGTTTGCCTAAGCTAAAATATATTAATGCTAGCTAAAAGTAGCATAAGAATATTAAAACTGATAAAACAGCTGAAGCAGATTTCTATAACTAGAAACAAAGTGTTCCAGACTTTCGGCTGTTTTTTAACGGAGCCACGTGATGAAGATCTACCTCGCGAGGTGGATCCATTTGTTGGTGTCTGGAGGGACATCTCGGCGTCCTCGTGAGCGTTTGGCGGGACGTTCCTCCGGGCCGGCGGCCTGCAGCAGACCCTCCTCCAGCAGCAGGATGCCGGACGGCTGCTGGAGGCTCACCAGGCAGGTGGAGCTGACGGCTGCAGGGTCCAGCTGCTGCAGCTCCTGGTGCCGGTAGCACATGTCCTGACAGAGGCAGCAGCATCGTCAGCGTCCAGCAGCTGGACAGGTGAGAGGATCTGTCAAGACGTGTCGTACCTGCACACACGCTATGAAGGGAGGGAAGCAGAGCGTGCTCCTGCTCAGGAAGGAGTTCATGTTGCTCCGCAGCTCCTCTTTGATCCTCCTGCTCTCCTCTGGACCGCGGCTCCTCTCCATCTCCTGGAGGACGCCCGTGAAAAGGGAGCTGAACAGCTGCTTGGACAGGATGGGGTCTCTCTGAGGGGAGGAGAAAAATATTAACTAGAAAAACAGAAATAGAGCTGTTAAGGCTAAAAATATAAAAAATAAACACAAGCTAAAAGAACAACACTACTCATTTAGCAGTCTACATAAAAGCTTAAAATGTTTTAATGTAAAACAATGTTAGTTAATTATAGCAAAAGGCCAGCTGAAAGCTAAATGTAATGAAATAATAGAAGTTAAAAACAGCAAAAGACTAGCTGAAAGTATCTGCAAAAAGCTAGCTAAAAGTAACAAACAGCTACTTGGAAGCTAAGAGAAGCAAAAGCTAACAAAGTAGTAAAGGTGAAGCTAAAAACTAAAGTACAACAAGCTGGAAAAAGCTGGCAAAAAGCTAAACGTAGCAAAGGCTTGTTAGAACCTCAAAATAGAAAAGGCTCACTAGAAATTAACAGAAACAAAAGTCTGGCTAAAAGTAGCAAAAGACTAGCTAAAAGCCAAAGTATGATATCTAAAATACCAAAAGGCTAGTTTAAAAAAAAAAGCTAGCTAAAAAGGAGAAAATATGTAGCTAAAACGAGCAAAAGAAAAGCTGAAAGCTAAAAATAGCATAAACTAGCTAAAGCATGAAATGACTAGCTTAAAATACCAAAAGCTTAGCTAGAAAAAAAAATCTAGCTAAAAGTAATGAATATGTAGCTAAAAATAGCAGGACAATCACACAGCTAAATGTAGCAGCTCTCATTAGAAGCTAAAATGATCAAAAGGCTTATTAGAAGCTGAAAGTAACAAAAAGCTAGCTCAAAGCTAAACATAGCATAAAAAGAAAAAACGGAGCCAGTTTTATGGCTGATTTCAATGAAGAAGTGTGTTTTTAAAGGAATGAAGCTCACTGTAAGTCTCCGGAGAGAATCTTTGTAAATAAAAGGAAAAGTGAAGTCTTGCCTGAGCGAGAGCCTGCAGAGGAGCGATYAGGCTGCTGAACGGGATCTGAATGTCTGGGAAGTCTCCTGACCTGTAGCTCCGGTACAYAGTCACCTGAGCTTCTTTACGCAGCCTCTGATCAGCCTTTTCTTCCTGTGGGACAAACACAGAACCGGGTTAGAGGTCCTAGTTTCACCTCAGTCACAGTAAAGGCTGATTAGTGGTGGCGGCCATCTTGAATCGGGTTAATCACGTGTAGATGTGTTTAACGATTCTTTTCTGGGAGCTTTGTTGRGATTAGTCTGTTGTGTGAACACAGGCAAAAACAGCAAACACACCTTCTTCCACCTCTGCTGCTGGATCTCCTTTTGTGCGAAACCCAAGCTGACTTTCTCCTGATCCTTGAGGAACCTGCGTCTCAGCCTCAGAATGCTGCTGCGTCGCTCGTTCTCAGCTGTAAAATAAAACAAAGATTAAACCCTTCCTCCTCAACCCAAAGCGTTCAGGTAGTTTTCAGACTCACCTCTGGTCCGGCTGTCCACCTCGTCTGTCGAGGCTGTCAGGCGCCTCAGACCGAAACCCTCTCCGACGGGTCGCCTCGCCGCCGCCCGCCGCTCCGTTTTCTTATCGAACACGAGCAGAGACGACAGGGACTCTGAGCCCAGAGAGTAATCTGCCAACGTGTCCACGCTGCTGTCCGTCAGCCAGTTATACGCTGACCGTCTCCCTGCCACACATCAGATGCTTTAACGTCACCGCTCGGCAGGTTTTAACCTCCGGACCGATGCCGGGTCGCTGCAGTACCTGGGGTTTGGGTTTGGCTGAACTCTAAGGACGTCTGCGTGGCTCGGAGCTTTCCCCTCATGGATTCGTACTGGGAGGAAGCTGCGCTCTCTGAGCCCTGAGAGCTTAGAGTTTCTACAAACATGGGGGTCATCACTGTGCTCCTGAAGCGCCAGTTGGAGTCAATCACACAGTCCTGGAGTTAAAAACACAAAAACACATGAGTATCATCTTAAACGTCTCAGGGAGGCGAGGGATGAGAGTCAGCTCTGACCTGGAAGGTGCACTCTGACAGAGGATACTCAAACATGTTCCTCTGGAAGTCCGGACTCTGGCTGGTCATCTCCAGCAGCAGGTTGGTGGCCAGGCTCAGGAAACACCTCTCTATCTGACCCGAGTACAGAGACCTGAGCACCGTCAACATCCGCTCCAGGGTGGCGGTGGGGAGGCGCTTCTCCTGGCTCCAGAAGTTACGAACGTAGAGCCTGAAAACACATCAGACAGAGGAGGATTTCTGACTGAAATATGAAAAACAAGCAAGTTTAACCAATAAAAAATAAAACAAATAATGTTTTATAAAGACCCAGAGAAGTGATAAAGTTGTATCACAAGAGAGAGGAGAGCAGAATGAGCAGACCAGGAGCTAAAATGAGCAGAAAGGGAGATAAAATGAGCCGAAGAGGAGCTAAAGAGAGCATTAGAGGAGCTAAAATTAGTAGAAGAGGAGCTAAAATGAGCAGAAGAGGAGCTAAAATGAGCNTTAGTAGAAGAGGAGCTAAAATGAGCAGAAGAGGAGCTAAAATGAGCAGAAGAGGAGCTAAAATTAGTAGAAGAGGAGCTAAAATGAGCAGAAGAAGTGCTAAACAGAGAAGATGAGCTCAATTGAGCAGAAAGAGCTAAAATTAGCAGAAGAGGAGCTAAAATTAGTAGAAGATGAGCTAAATTGAGCTGAAGAGGAGCTAAAACTAGTACAAGAGGAGCTAAAGAGAGCAGAAAAGGTGTTAAAATGAGAAGAAGTGGAGCTAAAGAGAGCAAAAGGGGAGCTAAAGTGAGCAGAAGAGGAGCTAAAATGAGCAGAAGAGGAGCTAAAATGAGCAGAATATGAAGTAAAAGCATCAGAATAAAAGCTAAAACAGTTGGTAAATGCAGCACAACTGTGGTTAAAAACGAAAATCAGCAGAAAAGGTGCATACAATTACCAATGATATGTGTAAGCTCAAATAAGCAAAGTGCTTAAATTAGAAAACCTTGTAGCTACAGGCTACAAGTAGCAGAATGACAGCTAAAAACAGCTAAATGTAGCAGAAAAAAGATTAACATAATAAACATGTAGCTAAAAGTGGTAAGGAAGTAGCTAAAATGAGCATAAGAAGAAAATAGAGTCAGCTTGTTAAAGTAGATTTTAAACAGAAGGATGTTTTTGAAGTAATCTCAATGTAGTTCAATAGGAAAATATTAGAAAATAAAGTTAAATATTTTGAAAAATATAAAAAGTACAAAAGTCTGAAATCATATCACCCATCTCCTGAATGAGCTGAAGGATTTGATACATGTTAGAACATACTGAAGGCCTTGGTTTTCCTCTGATAACCCCTGAAGCAGTGCTTCTTTAGCTGCATTTAAAATCTCCAGAGAGGTTTTATCCTTCATGCTTTCTTCATCACTGGTAAACAAAAAAATAAAGAAGTCCATGAACACAGGAGCTATACACCAAATCAAGAAAGTGCTTCTACAACTAATCCACATAAAGCAAGAAGTCCGGAGGCCTGACCTGTAGTTGTCCTGGACCCACATGAGGATCTCGTACATCCTCTCTCTGCACACCGGTGAAGGATGGGAGATGAAAGACGTCACAGGTCCCAGGAACTCCTGAAGCTCAGCTGGAGTCAGACGAGCCGTGATCTTGTGGATGATATCCAGACACACTCTCTGCCTGGCATCATCCCTGAAAAAACAGAAACAAAACCATTTGATTGTCGCTACTTTCTGAAAAAACATACGTCTTTCTGTGGAAAAGTTCATAAATAAAACAGGAGCCTTTCAAAGATCTCAGTTTGAAGAAACCGTTCAGTCCTGACAGGTTGACGAGCTGAAATATCTAAAATAAAAAATAAATTGTAAAGGTCYATCCATAATTTCAAAAGGATTAGCTGTTTTAGCTCACCTAGATGGTCAAAAGGCTAGTCCTCGGCCGAGCTAATGCTAGCTGTTTAAGCTCATCTAGATGGTTTAAAGTCTAGTCTTCGGCTCAGCTAATGATAGCTGTTTAAGCTCTTCAAACTGGTCTAAAGGTTAATCCTCGTCCCAGCTAATGCTAGCTGTTTTAGCTCTTCAAACTGGTCTAAAGGCTAGTCCTCGTCCCAGCTAATGCTAGCTGTTTTAGCTCTTCAAACTGGTCTAAAGGCTAGTCCTCGTCCCAGCTAATGCTAGCTGTTTTAGCTCATGAAACTAGTCTAAAGGCTAGTCCTCGGCACAGCTAAAGCTAGCTGTTTTAGCTCTTCAAACTGGTCTAAAGGCTAGTCCTCGGCCCCAGCTAATGCTAGCTGTTTTAGCTTGTCATCATGGTCCAACAGCTCCAGCTCGTGGCCACGCTAAGACTAGCAGTTATTAAATACAGTCTAACAGCTGAAGTCCTTGGTTCTGCAGGGACTAGCTATTATTGGCTCGTCACTGTCGTCTCACAGCTAATTTTTGAAATCAAATAAGATGAACCCCAGATGAATGGGGGGTGGGGTATCTAGGACTCACCTGTGGCTCATGATCTGAGTGAGTCCTGTGGTCTTCAGCTGCAGAAAGATGTCTGGAATGACATCAGCTCGACTTAAAACGCACTCCAAACAAAACGTCTTCAAGGCGCCGTGCAGCTTCGGCAGCAGGAAGAACACGTGGTTCACAAACCTGAAGAATTAAAACAGTTTTAGGTTAAAGGGGGTTTCTTAAAAATGAGTCCTCAGTAGTTTATAAAAACAGAGTCAGCTCACCGATCCATGAACGGAGGAAAGTGTTTGGAGACTTTGTTCAGGCAGATGATGAACTTATCGGCCAGATCATTCTTCAGGTTGATTATTTTTGTTGCAGCCAGATTCAGGAGCTCTTCATGTTGCTGAAACAGAAAAAAAAACAAGTTATTAAAGTTTAACTTAAACAAAAGAATGATCCTATGCTAAATAATAATAAATTAAAAAAAAAAAAACATACGTTGCCCATTTCAACTGTACTTTTAAGGATGAGGCCGATAATTTCAGCTGCAGCAGAGTAGACCTCTTTGTACCTGATGGACACGTTGTTGATGAGCGCCTGGATGTACCTGAAAACACACAACACACACAAAAAGTTACATTTTAACAACTTTAGCTTCAACAAAATATGTTTAGAACAAACAATAACTGTATAAAATCATAACGCCTTTGTTAAGGTAGCAGAAACACGAGCTAAAAGCTAAAAAGAGACAATAAAAACCAGGAGTAGCAAAATAAAAAAATCTAAAAGTAAACAATTTGCTAACATTTCTGTGTAGCATAGGTCTAGCTAATAGATAAAATTAAAAAACAGTAGAAGCTAAAAGCAACAAACATATAGCTAAACCCTTAGGTACCATAAAGTCAACTAAAAGCACCAAAAAAGTGTCTAAAAGTAATAAAACAGAAGCTAAAAGCTAAAGTAGCAAAAGGCTGGCTACAAGTTCATGTAGCAAAACCCTAGCTAGCAGCAGCAAACAGTAGCCAAAAGGACAGCTAAAGAAGAAAAGTATCCTAAAAGGTTAAGCAGTATAAGGTTTGCTAAAAGAAGGAAAAGTTCAGCTAAAAGTAGCAACAAGTTGGCTAAAAGTAGATAAGAACTAATAGTAGCAAACAGATAAACTCTCAAAAGCCAAAAGGTATCAAAAAGTTGGCTAAAAGCTAAAAGTAGCAGAACAATATTTAAAAACTACAGCCTAGCCAGAAGGGAAAAGTAGCAAAAAGCTAGATAAAAATCAAAAAATTGCAGAATGTTAGCAATAAACTAAGAGTAGCTAAAGAAAATAAAAACAGTTAGTAGCTGAAGCTGGTTTAAAACAGAGTTTTTGATGAACTTAAGAGCTCTACGGGTTTCTAAGAGGAAATTATTCAAATCAAGTTAAAAGTATAAAAGTTACAAAAACCAAAAGCCGCAGTGCTCATCTAAATGAGCTGAATGTTTTGATTTACAAACAGCTAAAATATCAAAATGTCTGCAGAGGTAGTTTTAATGAAAAATAAAAATATCGGTTTCAACACTCGGTACCTGTCGTAGTCGATCCCACAGGAAGCTTGGTAAGCAGGAAGGTTGTTGGCCAAGATGATTCCCAGCAGCTGCAGTCCAACAGAATTATCTTTGCTGTTCGGGTCGGTGCCACAGAACCGCTCGTGTATCAGACTGTGGAGGAAAACAGATTTAAAAGGCTGTTTCTGCACTGTGAGCTTTGGCAGGTTAGATTAGTGGCTGTAAAGGTGAGAACACCTGTTCAGACTCTTACCTGTACGGCACCAGCAGGCAGTCCTTCCAGCACTCCACCACGGTGCGAATGATCTCCAGGTTGTGGCGGAAAACGGCTCGTTTGGAGTGGAAGCAGTGCTTCATCAGAAACTCCAGCAGCCGGTTGGCGAGGACTTCGTCTCTGGGGTTACCCTGGACCAGAAGAAACCTGTCAGAAACTGGGACCTGGTTAAACGCCCGTCAGACCTGTGACCCACCTTGGGTGTGGCCAGACCGGTCCAGGACAGAACCGTCACCACCACGTCCACCACCATGAAGTGGATCCCYGCTCCTCCGTTGTTCCCAGAGACAACGAGCTGCAGGAGCGGGCCGAGCCAGTGCTTGGCATATGGACGAAAAACCTGCCGAACACGGATTACATGAGACGGTTTTTACTTTTGTTTTATAAAGTTCTTTAAAAACCAGAGAGCAACTTCACCTCCTCTGAGTTTATGATCAGCTTTGAGATGAAGAGTCGTATGTTCAGAGGCGTGGCCGGATTCACCAACTTTACATGAAGAAACTTCATCCATGGAGGAAGCTCCGGAGCCGGACCGCCCTGTTTTACAGTAAAAGAAAACTTAAAAAAAACATTTATTCATTGAAAATGAAGCATGAAAGCTGACAACTGCTGAAATTTGAGCTGAGTTCCTAAAGCAAAAAACAGCTACTACTAGCTAAAAGAAGCAAAAGGCTGACTATAACTAGAAAAAAACTAACTAAATGTTCAAAATAGCAAAAGGCTAGTTGAACGTAAAGGGTTCCAAAATGCTAAAAGGTATCAAAATCTAGCTAGAAGATAAAAGTAGCAGAGAGTTAGCTATAAGCTAAAAGTACCAAAAGACTAGCTAAAAGTATTAAAAGCTAATTTCATGTTCAAAGCAGCAACATGCTGACCTAAAGCTAGAAATAGCCAATGCTTGCTAAAAGCTAAGCGTATCACAATGCTACACAAAAAATAATAACTGAAAGGCAACAGGTTAGCTAGAAGCTAAAGGAAACATAAGGCTGGATGAAAGCTAAAAAAAAGGCAAAAGGCTGAAAGCTAAAAGTATCGTAACGGTAGAAGTTAAAAGTAGCATAAAGRTAACTAAAAGTAGCAGACAGTAAATAAAAGTAGCCAAAACTAGCTACAGTTAAAAGTTGTAAAAGCCTGGCTAAAAGCTAAAAGTATCACGATGCTACATAAATAAACATAAATCTAAAGGCACCAGGTTAGCTTGAAGCTAAATGGAATAAAAGGCTAGCTGAATGCTAAAAGAATCAAATCAATAAATGGAAGTTAAAAGTAGCATAAGCCTTGCTAAAAGTAACAGAACAGTAAATTAAAGTAGCCAAAGGCTAGAAAGAGTTAAAAAGGTTTAAAAGCAGGGCCAAAAACTAAAATGACCAAAAGGTTAAATGCTAAAAGTGCTATAGTAGCTAAAGTTAGCAAATGCTAAACATTTTAGCATCCATCTTCTGAACAAGCTGAACGTTTTGACATTTGAACAGCTAAAATAGCACAAACAGCTACACATATTGGTTTTGATGAGAAATTTCAAAATAAAAGCAGGAACCTGCTGGGTTTTCGGGGTTATATTGTTTCTCTGCATGTGCTGGATCAGAGCCGTCATGGTCGTCATGCACTCGTGCTGGTTCAGCTCGTCCATTTCCAGGTCCACCATGGCGTCCTGGGAGGGACTTCTGTCCTCCGTCTCCTGAAGGCAGACACAAATAAACCTGTTCTTGTTTTGCTCCTGGCCTTCTGAGAGTAATTTAAACACGTTATAAATATACAGAGAGGTGTAGACCAGGCTGTGAGAGAATCAGGTTTAGTTTGACCTTTTTCAAAGCGGCTCGTTTGGGTCCCTCTGGGTTCTGGGAGTTGAAGGAGAAGCTCTGGACTCCTGTGGAGAAGTCAAACTGACTCATCTCTTCACTCAGGCTGCTGTCGGCCATGTACGACTGGGAGGACAGGTACACAGGTGCTTCTGTGGAAACAGAGACCAACCCAATTAAATCCACACCTGAGACWGTATGTCCTCATAAACAGCATCAACCAGGAGCTAAAATGTACCTTTACATTTCTGCTACAGGCTAAAATCAGCTAAACTGAAGCTAAATGATATAATCAGCAAAACTGCACTAAAAACTACAATTAATAAATAGCAGATTAGAGCACAAATGAGAAAAACAGTAGCTAAAATTTAACAAAATAGCAGCTTAAGCATAAAATAAACAAAACAAGAGCTAAAACCTGGAATGACCAAAACCAGAACTAAAAGCTAAATTGTCAAATTCTTGCTAAAGTAAAAAAATTATCCAAGCAACAGCTAAAAAAATAAAACAGTAGCTGAAAGTCAAGTTGGGGAAACCATTTGTAAATGTTAAGTGTTAAAAAAGCTAGTTAAATGCTAAAACTAGCAAAATATAAGCTAAATGCAAATATTGGCAAAACTATGGCTTAAAGCTAAATTAAACATACAGTAGCTAAAAGCTATAAGGAGCCAGACAAGACAAAAAAAAAAGAACAGATGTGTTGAAGCAGATTTCAGAGAATGTTTCTGTAGAAAGTAAAAAATCCTCAAAGTATTTCAATGAGGAAATATTAATAAATAAAATAAAATAACCATAAATACAGTGTATATAAATAAAAAGCTGTAAGCTGATTTCACTGACAATAAATAAGCTCATTAAAGATATAGCATGTTTATCAAAGATGGCTGAAACAACAGTTTGTGAGCAGGTAATACCTCCGCTCTCCTCACTAATTTCTTTACGAATCAGAAAATATTTCTTCTTCCTCTCAAGCGGAACCTAAAACACAGAGGAAAAGAAATAGTGAACATATAACATTAGATATTTAACATTATCTGTTAAATAAAACAAAAGAGTACCTCAATTTCAATGGGAAAATTGTAGGTCCTTTGAACATCGATGATGTTCTCAAGAATAAATTGATTCTGAACGATTAAAAAACAAAAACAAATCAGCGTCTTTTCTAAATTGTTCTTTGTTTTGTTTGTTTTAAAGACGTCAGCACCTTCTCTGGTTTCTCACTGAAGAGGAAGCCCTGGTAGAACTTGGGCTCGTTGAAGCTGCAGCTGATGACGGCGATGTTACAGTTGTATGCGGCGCAGTGAAAAACTCTCCTGAGCTCCAGCAGRTGAGTCTCACCTGCCATGTTCTCAGTGAAGGCTTCGAAACACGACCTGTAAACAAACAATATATATATTTATATATAAATGTTCTCAGTGAAGAATTCAAAACAAGACCTGTAACAAACAAAATAACTTTCAAGACTCATTCAGAAGGAGAAAATCCAAATATTTGTGAAGACGCACTTGATTAGAACTTTGGACAGCTCGTTTCCCTCCGTCCTGTCGGAGCGACAGTAGGCCTGATTGATGCGGGACTCCTTGGAGTAAAGCTCCTCCTTGGGGAGGCGCGAGTACAGCAGCTCCATCAMCTTAAAGCAGCCCATCTTCTTCAGCAGCTGCACCTCGAAAGCTCCTTCGCTGGACTGAAACAAACGTTTATATTGTGACTTTAAAAAAACAGGTTTTCCTGCAGAAATATTCTCCAAACGGGGGCTGCTCAAAGAGCCATCCTCAGCAGGCAAGATACTGACTGTTCATTAGGGATGGGCGATATGGACTAAAAAATTATCTCGATAATTTCTAGGTTTTATTACGTTAACGATAAGTGACGATATATATATCAGCCTAATCTTTTGTATTATAAATCTATCACTACATTCTCTCTTAAGAGCCCTAAAATACTAGAAGCCACTAAACTATATTAATAATAAGAATAATAAAAAAATTATAATAATGCATTTTATTTATAGGCGCCTTTCAAAACTCCCAAGATCACCTTACAG